ACAAAATAATGCATACAACACGGGTGCATGTGACACAAGTGCAATACTGTGATATATTAACCTCCTTGGCTGTTATCCAAGATTTTCCTTGACCCTGATTGGTCGCGTGAAAAGATAAAAACACATGTTATGATATGCAACAATGTTTATGTTGAAGGACAAGTATTTATGTATCATCGGGGATGGTTTTAACATAGAAGCCACTGGKTGGGCCTACTTTACGTCTATGATAAACTTCGTCCGAGTTCCCAACGCTGTGTTCCTTGATTACAGACTCATTTACTCAGGGTTAATCTCGTTTCAGAGTCCACATATTCACAAATACCAACGGTCGGTAAAGCAAAAAATGCACAACTTCAGCAATACAGGTACGAACACTTTGAAATTCCACGGACCTTCACTGGAACACTTGAATATTCTGCACAAATCGAGGCTAACCCTGAGCAACAGAGAACTCGAAGCTGGAGTATTTGACTGTGCAGACACTAAAACTTGTGAAGACACTAATAAGACAGCACTCTACTACACAACGATATAACAGCAAAACACGCAACAAACAATACTATAACATTCTAGCACAGTATTCCATGCAACACATTACTTTACATCGTGGTCTACTGTTCGATATATCATACCTGTGGATCAATCAACAGAGGATATCTAGAAGCCTTGGTAACGATAATACCATTCTGAATGGACAGCTCGTCGTTAGGGAGACCTTGGAGATTCCACTCACCGATGGTGGCAGCGTCCGTCAACATGTTCGTCAAGTTTATGTCCTAGAAATAATGAAATTCGAATTTAATATGAATTTCTATGTCCTTGTTGGCGTGATGTGACGAGAGAGTGGTGTGACAATGTGACGTGACGTGACAGTGCAATCAAAATGCATACCTCGGAGAATGGAATCTTTGCTTTTCGCATCTCTTTCTTCCAACTTTCTTGTAACAAGTTACGGAATTCTTGGTTAAAYGGACCAGAATATGACAAGAAACCCGTGGCTAAAAGAACATCTCCAACAAGTCTGMAAAATACAGTCAATGTTATTAGGAAATATCAGTCTACTAATTTACATGGCCACATGTCATTCCCTTGAGAATAATKACCTTTTTCAATAGTTATCTATTATCTTTTTCAATAGTTATCTATTGCGCTTTAGAGCGGTTTCTCAATTCTATGCCATCATGTTGTTGAATATTATTTCTTTCTTTACAGAACCTCTTTTTATAAAAATAGTGCGATAAAAGCTCAGAGGATTTATAAGTTTTCTTGCTCTAGGTTCGGTATTGGGGTCCCTGTAATACAACCGACGAGAAAGACTAGGGACGAGCCCCTTTTTCCTCAAGATCTACAGAACACAGGACCCCCAAAAGGAAAAAGCGAGAGCTGACTTAGGCCTTTAGAAGATTTTGTACCTTTGAATTTGTTGATCAAATTTCTTGCTCTGTTCTGTCCATCGGACTTTTTCTCCTCCCAATCCGTCAATCAATGCCGTAGCATTACTCATCTTCCTACGACAAGCTTCAGCATCGTCTACTAATGTCTGTTTGTCTGTCATCGCCTTGTCGTACTTGGCCTGTACGAGGTCCAGTTCTTTTTGCTTTTCATCCAGCTGTTCTTGAGCGAGGTTTAGTTCTTTTGTCGCTGTCTGCAGACGTGCTTCTTGGATTATGAGATTTGCCTGAAGATGAAGAAATTATTTATATTTGCTTTGCACGTGATTTTGATTTTAATCAACATACATTACTATCATCAACATCATTGTCATCGCTGTCATCGCGGTCATCATCATCGTTATCATCACTATCACCACCACCATCACCATCACCACCACCATCACCATCACCATCATCACCATCTCATCATCATCACCACCACCATCACCATCACCACCATCATCATCACCATCTCCATCACCATCATCACCATCTCATCATTATCATCATCACCATTTCATCATTATCATCATCACCACCATTTAGTACCATCATCATTATCATCACCATCACCATCATCATCACCATCTCCATCACTATCATCACCATCATCACCATCATCATCATCACCATCTCATCATCATCATCATCACCATTTCATCATTATCATCATCACCACCATTCAGTACCATCATCATTATCATCACCATCATTATAACCACCATTAGCAAAAAACATTCAATCTCACCTTGAGTGGCAGTACTTCTTTGTTGACGCCATAAAATGTTGCCATTGCTTTGGTCCAAGAAGCCAAGCCTGCTACGTCACCGCATACTTTCTTAGCACTTTCCAGATTGTAATCTTCCATGTTGAGATAAGGTTCCAAAAACTCGACAGTTTCTTCATTGATGGAATCCTATCGATATCAAACRAAATCAGTAAAGAAAGCCTTAACCCCCACTGAGGTGTCTATCTGATGACCAGGCACAAACCTTAGGGAAAGTAAGCAACATGTTCAAGAATCCTCCCTGACTCATGCACTTGAGTGATTCACCCCATGATGGTTTAGTGCAAGGTCGTTCAGGGTCCGCTGTAACAGTGTCTACACGTTTCATGAACAGCAGTAACACGCAGTCCATAATTCTCATGATCAGATGTGGTGGTTTTGCGAGTTTACGGACGGTTGAGATGTGAGCTGGTTTGATGGTTTGTAGCGCTGCTTCGGCTTCTTCTAAGGCAGGTTTGGCTGCTGCCAACTTCTTTTCAGCAACTGCCTTGTCATCCTGTGTAAATTAATGAAAAGAATTGCTATCTAGTTAGTATCTAAGA